TCTGCATTGGTTCAAACAGTCATGCCACTTGAACCAATGTAAATGGATCTTTTAAAAAGAAAAGTAGAAACGCCAGTGTTTTAGACAAAAAATATTGGGGGGGGGGCTCTACTGGAAACAATGAGAATCAGCCCATCCTAGTCCTGTAGCATTTCCCTCATGTTTTGCCAATGTGGTCACAGCCTAGGTTCTACTGAAATACTATCCCTCCCACTTTTATGTATCCATTTGCCTACCTTTCCAATTTCAGTCATATTTATGCTGCGCAGATGACAGCAAACAGTCTTAGAGTACTGAATTATTGTGTGCCCTCTTTCTTCCTCTGGTCCTCAGTGCTGCTACAAGAAGAGGCCATCCCTGTTTTGCTCCCTTCTTCCCTTTCCGCTAATATATGCAACAAGATAAGTATGATAAGAGACACAAAAGTCGATTACATGTATTGAAAAGTTAAATGTCATAGTCTCCCCTTGTGGTAGAAGTCTGTGACTCAGAAGGCAATGCTGTGGCTCCCAGTCCAGAGAAATCCTTCTGTGGAGGACAAAAAGGCAGTTACCCAGGGATTAGTTAGTGACTGAGAGGTGAAAGTGTGCCCAACCATATCCTTAACAAGCACTTCCACCTTCAGTTTACTGCGGGCTATGTAGGTACTAGATTTTCATCTTCCAGTGCTCTTTATGCCTTGGACTTTCAAACTAGCCACCACAGCCATTGTGGCCATCCTCAGTCTGAAGAAGTTGGAGGAAGTCCTGTGCGAATATATATCTAATCCTGTGGTGGCTCAACACAGCAGCCTTTTGAATGGGTAACATTTGGGTTAGCAGCCATCTTGGTGAAGAGTGAGGCCTGAATGGGCAGCCCTTCTGCCAAGAAATCAAAGAAAAAAATTGCACTTCCCCTGCAGAGTGCCACGTCCCTCCTTGTCTCCTGCTAACCTGTTAGGGATGAAGAAATGATGCTGTTCATGGCTCTCTGCCAAGGTTCCACAGCTGGTGTGAAGCAAAGGAGACACTGCCCTGGCATTCAGTTTGAATGTAAGGAAAATGGATCTTTCTTACTAAATGCAAAACAAAAAAATTGAAGAGCTCCTTGAACGTTTAGTCCTAAAGGATGCCAGCATAGCAACTGCACCTGTAGACGTAGGACGCCACAAGCCAGACCACAACAGGGAACCATGGTCTGAAAATGGGAAGTGCAGAGAAGCAAAGGAAAGCTTCTATACTAAAATACTGTCACAAGACCACATATGGCAGCAGCAGTGGCGTATCTGTGCAGGAAGACCAGTTCACCAACTAAGAAAGACTGGGAAGCAGTCAAAAGAGTGGCAAGGTATCGAAGGAGCACTGCATATCCCAAACTGAGATGGTCAGCAACTAAAAATCCCAGACTTGTAGGATATGTAAGTGCTGAATGGGCCAATGACATCACCAATTGCCAGCAGAAACATGCTTTTCTATGGAGGAGCAGTTGCCTGCCGAGCAACCTGAAAACAAGAGACAGTGGCCTTATTGTCACATCTTGCATGTGAAGCATGCAAGGAAGTATCCACTTGCTACTAAACATAGACAAAACTGAACCAGAGCCCATGAAGAAACTTGAAGGCAGTCCAGAATGCATGAAATTCAAACAGGAAGAAGAGGTGAGCTCATAAACAAAGCACATCATTATGAAGCGTCTCTTTGTGAAAGATATACGAAGCAAGGAACTCTTAGAAGACTTCAGAGTATTGACTGAATGGATGTCAGTCGAAGTGTTGACCAAACCATTGCGTAACACCTGGAGTTGCAAGACAAGATGAAACTCACAGACTGAGTGCAAACTTTGTTAAGAAGGGGTGTGGGAAGTACCTAGGTGCACTCAGAAGACAATTACATTAGTGAAATAACTAATATTTGAATCAGGGTTGGCTTCAATTAAACGGCTGTTTTAGGTGACTACACAATGCACATGGGATCCTGGATTTTTTTCCCCTGGACTCGTGTTTTTATGTTTCAGGAGCATGTTAGTTTAAGACCACTGCCAGGGACCATTTATTTTAACTCAGGTGTTGTATCGGGGTAAGGCATCCTTCAGTCTCGAAAGACTATGGTAACGTGCTCTGTATGGAGGACTTGGAACAGCGTCTAGTGTGGCTGAGGAGGCCAATTCGAGAGGGACAATCCCTTCCACACTGAAGACAAATCCAACCTGTCCCCTGTCCAGCTCCCTGGTTTTGCTGCTTTTGTCACTTCCTCTTTGCCTCAGCCTGCTGGGCAAGGGTCTCTTCAAATTGGGAGAGGCCGTGATGCAATGACTGCCTCCAGGCTGAACGCTCAGATGTCAGGGTTTCCCATCTGTTGAGGTCTATTCCTAAGGCCTTCAGATCTTGCTTGCGGATGTCCTTGTATCGTAGCTGTGGTCTCCCTCTGGGGCGCTTTCCCTGCACTAATTCTCCATACAGGATATCCTTTGGAATCCGACCATCAGCCATTCTCACGACGTGCCCAAGCCAACGTAGACGTCACTGTTTCACTAATGTATTCATGCTAAAAATCCCAGCTCGTTCTAGGACTACTCTGTTTGGAACTTTTTCCTGCCAGGTGATACCAGAAATCCGTCGGAGGCAACGTATATGGAACATGTTCAGCTTCCTCTCCTGCCGTGCACAAAGGGTCCAGGACTCACTGCAGTACAGGAGTGTACTCAGGACACAGGCTCTATAGACCTGGATCTTTGTATGTGTCGTCAGCTTCTTATTGAGCCATACTCTCTTTGTGAGTCTAGAGAACATGGTGGCTGTTATATCACTGTTTTACAAATCAACTTGCCCAATGTGCACTCCCATGTCAGGGGAAATTGCTCTCCACTTCTGTGTCACTGTGCTACTTCTCCATGTGAGTGTGCATGTGTTGGTCACTCCTCTGCCAGAGAGGGAGGAGAGGAGGAAAGCTTTTCGTCTGTCAGCCACTGCAAATGAAGGACAAGGAGGCAGGGGAGAGACCAACACAAACGTGCATGGCTCTTGGCATCTCCAACTTAGTTAGCTAAAACTAGTATTTCCATCACCTTTCCTATCCCAGAAATATTAGTGTATTTCTCTAATAAACCAAAGCATTCTTATTCTCCTAAAAAGGAGCATTGACATGATTCCTCTATAAAGGGAGAAGGGTACTCAGCTAATCATCCCAAGTTTCAAAGGGCTGGATCCACAAATTATTGTTGCTCCAGTATCCCTGAGTGTTCTGTTGTTGTTGTTGTTGTTGTTGTTGTTGTTGTTGTTGTTGTTGTTGTTGTTGTTGTTGTTGTTGTTGTGTGCTGTCAAGTCACCTTTGACTTACAGAATGAGTGATCTCCAAAATGTTCTGTCCTCAACAGCCCTGCTCAGCTCTTGTAAGTTCATATCTGTGGCTCCCTTTAGGGAGTCAATTCTCATATTTGATCTTCATCTTTCCCTGCTGCCTTCCACCATTCCCAGTGTTATTGTCTTTTCCAGACAATCTTGCCTTCTCATGGTGGACCCATGGTGGACCCAAAGTAGGACAGCCTCAGTTCCAACATTTTCAACAGAAATAGTTCAGACTTGATTTGATCTGGACCTCCTTGTTTGTCTTTCTGACACTTCAGAAATTCTGTAAATTCATCCATCAGAACTCAATATCACATCATTGCCAGACATTACACTATGCATTGATTGTGTAGCACTAGAAAGAAACTCGAGGGTTTCTAAGCAGAAGACCCCAGGTGTAATATGTGACATCTCCTGTCAAAAATATTAGATATAGATGAAGGAAAGGGCCTCTACTTGATAATGTAAAAAACCCACTGCCAATCAGAAGATTCTACAATAAGTTGTAAGTAAAATGCTATTTAGGTAAAGGTAAAGGTTCCCCTTGACAATTTGTTCAGTCGTGTCTGACTCTAGGGGGCAGTGTTCATCCCCGTTTCCAAGCTGTAGAGCCAGCGTTTGTAGACAGTTTCCGTGGTCATCTGGCCAGTGCGACTAAACACAGAACTCCATTACCTTCCCACTGTGGTGGTACCTATTTATCTACTTGCATTTTTCATTTTGCATGCTTTCAAAGCACTAGGTTGGCAGGAGCTGGGACAAGCCACGGGAGCTCACTCTGCCACATGGATTTGATCTTACAACTGCAGGTCATCTGACCTTGCAGCACAGAGACTTCTGTGGTTTAACCCACAGCACCTGTGAATAGTTTTTGGTGTAACTTACTCCCACCTGTGCAACCAGAAATTGCAGATGTAAGGAGCTTGTAATCTGCTGTGTTGTCCTATACATGTAAATGTATACATTTAAAAGGATTTTTGGAGATGCAGCCATCAATGGCTTCAGGACCACTTTATTAGCTTTATCAGCTTCAACACACCATCAGTGAGCTCTGAAATACAATCAGTATTTCTGCCTCTCCTAAAATATTACACTATCAGCTTGTTTGCTTATTTATTACTTCACATATCTAATTGGAAATTTCAACCTTTCATAGTTTTGAGTCAGTCTCTCTCTGTCACTCACTCTCTCACACACAAACATCCACCAACTCTCCCTCCTCCATCCATCCATTTTCTCCATCCATTTTATACATACTGTACATTTAAATAAGCTTGATGAAGCCCTCGGTTTCTCGCACCTTCCTTCCCTCCTTCCCTCGTTAACTTGATCCTTTCCCTCCTCCTACTTGCTAGCAGTCATCTCTGGCAGAAGCAGTCATTCAGAAGCCCCGGACTGATTGATTGCCTGAAGCTATTCCACAGCTGTAACCAATCAAGCAGGCTTATCTCTGATCTCTGAAAGAACGGAGGATTTACAAGTGCCCTGCTGCAACCAAGGAAGTAACAGGGAGAGGTAGTTTACAATTTGAGGTTTGGCTGCAGAGGGTGGGGGTGGGAGGGAAGGGGACAGTGCTCTGCTCCTTACCCCCAGGATTTTCACTTTTATTCCATTTGGGGTAATTTATTCTCCGACCACTGTACTAATAGAACCAATAGGTTAAAAAAAGTCACAACCGTTTTCAATGTGCAACATTCTCTATAGCCTTTATTTTCTAAACACTAAGGGAAAATGGACAGTAGTTACAAGAAGTGACCAAGAGCTTCACATTTTGCGCTTCTCTTGAGTCACTTTGCAGCTTCTTGAGGACCTTATTCTTCACTCACAATAACCTTCTTATGCACTTCTCGGGTCTTCGCCCGGAGCTTGTTCACTTGGGACTCAGCAATGTCGGCCCGCTCTTCGGCCTCTTCCAGCTCATGCTGAATCTTGCGGAACTTGGAGAGATTTGTATTGGATAGTTCCTCCTGTAAACAGACAAAGATATGAAACCTCTGAAGGCAAATGACTTCTTCAGATTGAGCTGCTCTCAACCATCTGGACAGTAGTTCACAATCATTCTTCTCAAATCGTTTTAAAATGCATAGAATCAATCTAAAAGCTCAAGGACTACAAGTGTATGGAGAAACCCATAACCTGAAAGAGAAGTAGCAACCCTTCAGACCCCACGTATACTTATGGCATGCTTCCAGCAATTCATTGGTAATGTAAGCACAATAGTGTGATCTGCTTAGAATCAGATTGGGAGTGTTTCCAAAAGGGGCTTTTACTGTACAGTGGGACAGCCTGAATAATGGAATATTATAGGGTGCTGCAGAAATCACTGTCTGTTAATTATATAATCTTCTCATACCTATCCTTTTCTTTCTTCCTATTGAAAAAAATTAATAAGGATTAATTATGAAAACTGAAGATTAATTTTCCCCTATTGGTAGCCTTAGGAGCAATCAATCTGGAAGAACCAATTATTATTCAAGAAATTTACATTGTTTACACAATACATAGTAACTGTCAAGGCAATGTGTTTCACTCTATTTGTACTTACAGCCTCCTCAGATTGTCGCTTGTATGCTTTTACTTTGAGTTGTAGTTTATCCACCAGATCCTGGAGCCTCAGAATATTCTTTCGATCTTCCTCAGCCTGAAGGAAGGAAGGAAGAATTTCAAATGCAAGTTACCATTCCATTGTTCAATCTACTAAAACATGTGATTTTTTTCTGAAAGTGCCCATTCTTACCTGATAGGTCATTTCCTTTACTCTTCTCTCATACTTCCGCACACCTTTGATAGCTTCAGCACTCCGCTTTTGCTCATTCTCACACTCAGATTCCAGCTCACGAACCTAAAATAGAAGAATGAATTTTTTGCACTTCATCTAATATTCTGGTACAAGAATATTACATCTTGTGAATGTGTGTGCAAGTCTTCTGAGATTCCATACCTAACCACATTGACAAAGTTGCTCAAGAGGAAAAAATGGGCACAACATTGGCACAAAATAGGCACAAAATAGACAGAAGTGGAGAATCATCAGGAGAATCATCATAGAGGATTTGAAATGGATACAGGCTATCCATAGAATAATCTTGTATGTACACTATGAGTTTTACTCACCCTGGCCTCCAGTTTCTGGATCTGTTTCTTCCCTCCTTTCAGTGCCAGCTGCTCTGCTTCATCAAGACGGTGCTGCAGGTCCTTCACAGTCTGGTCCAGGTTCTTCTTCATCCTCTCTAGGTGAGCACTGGTGTCTTGCTCCTTCTTTAATTCCTCTGCCATCATGGCTGCCTAATGATACAAGGCACCCAATTTAGAAAGCTATACATGTTAGGTGTAAACAGAGTAATCTTTTCTTAGGAAGTTTCTTCCGACTTACATCAGTGATGGCCTTCTTGGCCTTTTCTTCTGCATTGCGTGCTTCCTGAATTATCTCGTCCATTTCACTTTGGATTTGGGCTATATCTGTTTCCAATTTCTTCTTGGTGTTGATCAAGCTGGTATTCTGTTGGAAAATAACACAACCAAGGTTTTTGTATATTGCATTTGGTTGCTCCAAAATGCCACACATGAGCTTAATTTCTCCTCAGAGTAGCAGGGGGAACTATCCATTCCTGACTGAAACAGACAATAAGTTCGGTGAGGGGTGAGGAACATCAGGCCCCAGGCCTTCCAGAGTCCTTATCTAGACTGCTCAGTTTCCTAGTCACCCTGCCCTCTTCCCCATCACACCACTGTTTGATTGCTTCACACATTCCACAAGAAATTCTGATACATAATGTTTTGCTACTAGAAGGATGAGCTTTAACATGAAGTTCACTGGATTTTGATCCCATCATTTCAACCAGCACATAATGCAGCCTGAAAAAGATTTCCTACCCTTGGTGTAATTATGAAACTTCCTCAACACTCCTGACGAAGTCTTCATTAAGAATCTAATCATATAATTATAGTTAATAACAGCATCATAGTCCTCATTTAAAAGTGATATTGAAATGCTAGGAACATTTTAAATTTTACAATAAATTTTAATAATAAAATTTATTGTACAATAAATTTTAAATGTTCTGATGAAATTTATTGGTCATATAATGGAAATCCAGCTGATGAAATTTATTGTCATCAGGACAAGAAAATGTAGCCTGTCACATTCCAAAAAGGACTGAAGACTTGTACATCATTTGTTCTTAAGTAGAATAGATAATCCACAGCAGCTGTTTGTAGAACAAAGAAATAGTTACCTTCCATCTACTTATTTTGTGCAGTAATGGCTTACTCACATCTTCTTGGGAGATTTCATGAACCCATGAAAAAGCAGATGTTCAGTTACCTGTGTGTGGAGGAGCTGCACACGCTCGCTGGCGTCCAGCAGTTCCTGTTCAGCCACTTTCCTGCCCCTCTCTGTCTGTTCCAGAGCTGCCCGGAGTTCCTCTATCTCAGCTTGCATCAGGTTAGCCCTGCGCTCCACCATGGCCAACTGCTCTTTTAGATCTTCTTGACCACGGAGGGCATCATCCAAATGTAGTTGTGTGTCCTGGGAAAGTTGATTAAGATGTTATGGTCAGGGAGCCCTTGGCAAAGCAACAGTTGTAATTGTTCCCTGGATTGAGAACTAGATATATATCTACGTACTTTTAACAGTCCTTGTGTGTTCCTGAGGTTCTTCATGGCCTCAGCAGCTTGGCGGTTGGCATGGCTCAGCTGGATTTCCATTTCATTCAGATCCCCCTCCATCTTCTTCTTGAGCCGCATAGCCTCATTTCTGCTCCTGATCTCAGCATCCAGTGTGCTCTGCATGGTTTCTACCACCCTCAAGTGATTCCTCTTCAGCTGATCAATCTCTTCATCCTTCTCTGCAATTCTTCTGTCAATCTCAGCCTTCACCTGGGTGAGCTCTAGCTGGATGCGGAGGATCTTCCCTTCCTCATGTTCTAGTGAGGCCTTGAAAGCAAAGAATAAGAGGACACATGGTGGAAGTCTGTATATACTCTGTTTTTTTAATCCATTAGGGTAGCTCAGAGAACAGTGTTT